TATAGAATTGAATGTACAATTGAATACAAACTCTTCACAAGGAAGGTGAAATGAGATGTAGTGATCCAATATAAATTTTTGCACTCCAGATTTAACTTCGTTTAGTTCCGATGGTGATTGTAAATTCATTCATTTTCATTTCTTCATCTGGACTGGTTGTTCAGATTATTGCTGGCTCTATAATCCAGTTCAACACCTCATATTTGTTTCTGTCAGCCTGGCTCAGTGGTAGCACATTCGCCTCTGAATCAGAAGGTTGTGGATTCTGTACCCACGTCGGGAATTGGAATTGCATTGTCTAAGCCGCCAGTGGAGCTCCGGGGGTGGGTGACATTGTCAGATGTGTCGTCCTTCAGATAAGACGTTAAACTGAGGCCTTGTCTTGTCTGCTTGTTCAGGTGGACATTAAACATCTCATGCACTGTTTGAAAAGAGTAGGGCGTTTCTCCAGGTGCTTTGACCAACAATCCCCAAATAAAATTGGTCATTCACTTAATGGCTGTTTGTGGGAATTTGCTGGCTGCTGCATTTTACCTACAAAATATATAGTCAAATCACTTTACAGTATATCCTGTGAAGTGCTTTGAGATGTCTCGATGATGTGATAAGGCGCTATAACAAAAGCAAAGATTATTATTCGTAATAACAATTTTTACATTTTGGTATAGAGCCTTTCACGTTGGGAGAACATCTCAAATAGCTTCCTACAAAATACTGTACAAGTGGAGTGACTATACATTTGTAGGTGAATGTGGCAACCCATTCTTCTTCCTTCTCCGCTGTCTTAATTTGCTAAAGAAATACTGCTTACACTATTGAAATTTGTGAATTCTTGTCAACCTTGTTTTTAAGTAGTGTTTTTTTGCCTGGAGTTATGCGGATTACCTTCTCCCTTTTCTTATGTTTGCTCCAAAAAACAGACTGTAAGCAAGTACATTCCATGTATGCCCACAGACTTTAGATGTTTTTTAAGTGCTTGATGTGAGAGGTGAATGCAATGTGTTAGCATGCTCTATATCAGTTGAGAACTAGCTAACACGGCTAACTGGATTCTGTTTTCTCCTAGTGATCAAACATGAGTACTTTGTCGCAGAGGTCTCTGGATATAAATTGGGAATGTTTCTCTTTGAAACGTCTCGGGTTGTTGGTTGAGATCAGCTAGCTTCACACGTGGTGGGAAACCAACAGTTCACTTTTCAAGTAGTATTATTTTACCTGTAATACGGCTAGGAGCCACTCTTCTGGTGAATGTTTTGATAAGAAGTGGAAATGTGTTCCATTCGAATTGGCCTTTACTGGCACCACTGTTACTCTATTTATACTTAATCTTAGTTCAAAAGAACCGTGAGAACAGGCATTTTGCAATTGTGCTGATATAACATTGTGATGCTCTGCACCAATGATCTCAGCATCTGGGAATTCTTCCCACAGCCTTTCATTCCTGCTCATGTCACTTGCACAAAATTTTCCCAGCTCCTTCTAGCTTTTGACTTATATCATTGTATTTTAAGCCAGGCATGTGGGATAATTATTTCAGTACCAACAACAAATTACTTATTGTGTATAGCATCACTTCATATTACTACACTGAGAAATAAGTTTCTCATAGTGTTGAAAGCAGAGTTTGAAGTGCCTGTATTCATACCTGGTTTGATGTTGTAAAGAGAAGTACAAGTCCAGCTTTAGCCATCTGGTGAAATAGATGGTCACTGATTGGAATTGGGTCTTGAGTATCCTCAGTACGGTGTTGGAGATGTCTTAGATGTCTTATGGAATACTAGTTTTGCATTTGTTTTTCAACAGAGTCATTTTTTGGGTTACAGTCATGAATTTCAGTCAAGATCTTCACACTTTTGACGTTTATTGGAAGGAAGTTGAGAGCAGGAGGAGGCTGTTTGGTGCATTTAGCCTTTTCTGCAATTTTTTTGTACAACCACTCTTTTTCTAATCCCACGTGTCTTTCTCCATATTGCTTTTTTATGTCCTTCATACCGTTTTATTTCCTAGTACCTGTATTGTCTTCTCAATCGATTATGTGTCTATAGCCATGGAACAGGACATTTTGCATCCTCAGAGCCATTTGTGTGAAATGACACTTAATGTTTCTGAACTTTTTAAAAAAAAACATGGCCCAGGGAACGTCACATTAAAGCCCAATGAGCTTTCATCAAAATGTCCACAGGAGGAGTTACGAAACAAAACTGCTTTTTGATTCTCTTTCGAGGCAGAGGACATTGAGGCCGGGTTTACGCAGTACTGCTGTACCAGATTTTAAAAAAAACTTCCCGGAACAATACATGTAGTGCAACTATTAACTATTTTGGAAATACATTTTGTAGAGGTCTAGGGAATTATTTATTATGCAATGTAATGGCATGTAAGATGTTAATAAAAACAAATATTTGATTCATATGAGTTTATAGCTTTTGAATTTGACCCTTCATCAGCACTGAAACTATTGGCTTGGGAGGATTCCGATGTAGGATGGTGGAAGCCAAGTCAAATCAGAAAAAGTATTCTAATAATTGCCACATTCTTGTCAACTTAGCTGCATTTTGCCAACAATGGCAAGTGGTAAAATATACTCAAAATCTTGCTCTTGCAAATCAAGGGGCACAAGGTTGTGTAAAAATTTCAGCTGTGCCTTTTACAATATTAGGATCATTCTAATAACTTTTATCGTCTCCCCAGATATAACCATTTGACAGCCACAAATAAAGGGTTTAGCTGTGTGAAATTGGATGCTGCACAGAGCTTTTACATTTCAGTTCTATGTGTGGTGCTTTTGTTTTGCACACCATGAATTGGAACCGCCACTGTTGCGTGATTAAGGAAACAGTGTGGATGGTCATGCAAAATATTTTTTTTGTTCAATTCCAGGTAGGGCGAAACTTTGGGCAAGTTTCCTTACTCCACACGTCTAATAATAATCCCTCCAAAAAACAAAACAATAATAAATTGTTCACTTTCAATCCATGATTGTTTGTGGGACACTGCTGTAATTGGCTGCCGCGTTTCGCCCACAAAATTATATTGTCAATTCACTTTACAGTCTATTCTGTGAAGCACTTTGAGACACCGAGAAGACGTGAAAAGCGCTATATCAAATGTAAGGATTATAAATCCAAATTGGCTACAGTGCTAACATTGGAACATCCATCAGGAGTTATTCTGTCACTGTCATACCACACATTTCTCTCTTTCTGCGCTCTCTCTCTCTCTGTGTGACTAACCTCAGACTGTTTTTTTTAAATACCTGGTGCCTTCGTGCTACATCCTTTTGTGCACATGTGACATATTGCATGCAATGTTGCTTGGGCTGCAATTTTAGCTGGAGCCCAATGTGGATAAAATGAACATGCAGATAATTGGCGAATGGCTAACAATGTGGTTTTACTGTAGGTCGTCCTTGCATTTGATATGGCGCCTTTCATATCAGAAGGGAGTCTCAAAGTGCTCCTAGTGAAGTGTAGTGAATGTGTATTTTGCAGGTGAAAGCGGCAGCCAATTTGCGCACCGCAATGTCCCACAAACACCCAAGGAGTGAATGACACAAAACTGTATGTGTTATAGTTTGAGCAACATGTTGACCTGACCTGGTAAGGAAAGGGTTATTTCTCTACTGTAGCATAATAATGATCTTGAGTGAGAGGCACAAATTCATATTGACTCTGACTTGTTAATTGGATTGGATTTGGAGCCAGGCAGTCCTGTCTGTTTATAGCTCCCGGGAGGATGAGGTGTTTTATTTGCAGATCTTCTGAGAAGTAGAAAAAAGTTGTTGTTGAAGCTGAATGCTTATCATCCCACTGATGTGAAAATAAAAAAAATCTACAGTTCTCAGACCATGTAATATGTGTTAGAAATTTAATTCAGCTTCCAGATTAGATTGAAAAGTTTAATATGTTTTGCTCCCAATTAATCCACAGCACAAATGCCCTCTGGTCCCTCGTCAAATGGTCAATCCAATCTGCGTGTGACCTTGGATGGTAAATGTTCACAGACTATATTGGTCTATGGTGAAGCATCACAGCTAATCCTGATCTTTGTGTCCACTTAGCAAACTTTTGAGAAAGAGTCACGGGTAACAATTAGACAAGGAAACCCTGACTTATTTTCTTCTACCCTCTAAACCAATGGGTGCTGACACGAATTGTTGGAGTGCTATTATTTACTAACTTGATCGAAAACTGTTAACACAAGTTGGTGATCGAACCATCTATGGCAATTAAGTGCTTTGTGTGTGTATTTTTAAATTGAGACACATAGGCTAGAATTGGGGTGGGGAGGGGGGATTCCGCTTGGCTCTGCTTTTGTACAATTCACTTTACAGTCTATTCTGTGAAGCGCTTTTAGATGTGTCGAAGACTTGATAAGGTGCGATATCAAATGCAAGGATCATTCTATTATTTCAGAGCATGTCGATTTTGGACAATCTTCAATCTTGAGAATTTTGAATCTTGCTTTCTTGTTGGACTACAAAAAAAGCTTTATAATTAAAACAGAATTAAATTTTTTCCCCAAAATATTCATGCTCGAAAAAGTCCAGGACCAGATGGAATATCTATTCCCCTCTTACTCTCCCCCCACTACCTTATCATCTAGAACTCAGCAATGGGGAAAGTTGTGAGAAAGTTTTAAATTGCCAAGTGCAACATATTGTTAGAAAAAAATGATGTGTTCTTTTGAATTATTTTTAATATTAATTAATATTTTTAATATCAAATATTAATATTTGAGTTAAAAGTTTAATGGGGAAGATTAAATGGAAGAAATACATTTTCTGTCTGCAGGAACTATAATCATGGATGTAAGCTTTAAATGTTTCCATTGTGCATTTGGTGGGTTTAATTTGAGCGATTTTATGATTTTAAAGTATATATTAAAACATTGAATTTAAAACCATTTATCAGCCCTATTTATGCTTATTTTATTACAAAAATTAAAATAGTCTGAACTGTTGAGTTGGCATCATCCTAACTTCTTTTTACCTTCTACAGAAACCCTGAAAATAAATAATGAAAAGGCTGCATAAAGATACTGGACACTGAAGAAACATAGAAGTGTGTAAACTACCTAGCCCAGCTCATGTTTTCTCCTGATCAAGAAAATCTTTCTTCATCCACCAAAGCACCCATAAAATATGGAGAAATTATTGTATTAGGGTAAGTATGTCTAGGAAAAAGAAAATTACATTTCAATCCTAAATTATCTAAACAATACAGTATAGAAAATGTTAGAGTATACATCAGATAGTTCTTATAGAGACAGTTTAACATGTCAGAAGTGACCATCGTATTGTATTTAAAGTATCAGTTATTTTGTTTCTGTGGGGATAGAATGGACTTTTAATTCACCTGATGCAATCTTACCTGTTCAATATCTGACTTGACACCTAAAAGCGTTTCCAGTTCAAAAAAAGTTTGCTGGCAGACATTCAAAATGTTGTCTTCTTTATTAAATTTACTTTGATTTATGTGGAGAATAATGATGGGATCAACAGCAAAACTGCTAATCTTGTACTTGTTTATTAAGTTCTATAGAATTTGTCTCGTGTGGAGTCCTGTAGCTCAGTGGTTGAGCACTCGCTTTGCAAGTGAGAGACCTGAGTTCAATTCCAGGCAGAGGGCGAAACCTTGGGCAAGTTTCCTTACTCCACACAGAGCCTAATAATAATCCCTCCAAAAACAATAATAAATTGGTCATTTTCAATCCATGACTGTTTGTGGGACATTGCTGTGTGCAATTGGCTGCCGCGTTCGCCCACAAATATACAGTCAATTCACTTTACAGCGTGTTCTGTGAAGCGCTTTGGGACGTCCTCCCAACGTGAAAAGTGCTATATCAAATGCAAGGATTATTATTATAAGAATAAGGATTTTAGATTTTAATTAAACTTTTTAAAGGAACTTTAGAAATGAACAAAGAGCAAGGAATGAAAGGAGAAGAAATGTTTGATATTTGATGGGATTGAAGTGATATTTTATTCATCTGAATTTCATATATTTTGAAAGTTGGAGCCACATAACTATGCAATTTGCGTAATCAGTGTCCCACAAACACATGAATGACCAGCTTTTTTTATTTGGGGAATTGTTGGCTGAGACACACAGACAAACTCCCTTCTCTTTTTGAATAATGCCATAGGATCTTTAGTTTCTACCTGAATAGGCAGACAGGAGCTTCGGTCTCACCTGAAGGATGGTACCTCCAACAATGTTGTGTATCCCCTAGCACTGCATTGGAGTGTCATCCTAGCCTGAGTTTGAGGTCCTAATCTGGGTCTTGAACTCACAAACTTCTGACTCAGGCAAGAGTGCTACCAACTAAGTTTAGGCTCCTAGCATCTGTTAGGACAACGTTTAGTGTGAAGAAACATTGTTATTTTCTTGTCTAGTATGCTATCATTTGCAGTGAACTTAATATTCCATCCATTGAAGAGTAATATGGAGAATGTGGGCATGTAGATTGCAGTTGCAACTATTAGTCAACTCATTCGACATTAATGGTTTCATAATGTATCAGCAGTTATGACAGATACATTTTTTCAAATATTGAAGTGATTCAGTGGCATTTTTGTTCCTTGATAATAATACATGCATTTGATACAGTGCCTTATCAAGTCTTCAAGACATCTCAAAACGCTTCACAGAATAGACCGTAAAGTGAATTGACTGTATTTTGTGGGAGAAATGCTGCAGCCAATTGGGTGACCAAATTATTATTAACCTAATATATTTTTTGAAAGGATTATTAATCAATAATCAACCAACAACCGGGTCCCTGTTTACTGTGGGTAAACAGATTATGGGTGAGATTTGGTCATGGTAACTTGACAACACAAGTGGATCTCAACAGTGAGATGAGCTTTTCTCAGCATTGCATTGCTACCTCAAAGAGTAACTGATGTGGACAGAAACTACACTAGACTGTAACCCAAAAAGAGGAGAAGATAAATGATCAGTTAATGTAGTGGCCACTCACATAATGTTTTGAACTTTGTGTATGTAGTTAAATTCAATTGTTTTTCAATGCTAGCTTTTTTTAAGGCCATATTGTAAGGATAATGAGCTTTATTCTGGAGTTTTCTTGTAAACAAAGAAAATACCCGGGAGGAAGAATGCAAGTGCTTCTGGTATAATGAAGATCCAGAGTACCCTTTTCTCTCTTGATTGAGGTTGGTGTCCTGGTTCCACTTGAATACTATTTGGAAAAGAACAATAAGATTTTCCTGCTTGCCTTGCTTTTCCCTGTCTACTTGCCTATATGTCCTATCCAAGAGCAGTTGACTTATTACCAGCCTTTTCTATAGCTAGGAGGTTTGGATTGATTTGGCTTTCAATTTATTTTCTTGTGGTCTGTTGCCTTAATGATCTGAGATTGGTTGTTTTATATTAGGAGTTCACTGCATCGCTGATGACGTTTGTAATGCCTTTCAGAACATTTGGGGTATTTGGACCAATCAAAGCAAATGCATTACACTGGGGCCTTTGGTGTTCAGAGGATTAATGGGCCTAATGTAACCTTACACTGAAAGCAGTACAGTCAGTTTAATTATTTAAGGTAGCTGAGAGCCTGTTAATAACTTTAGTACTTGTTAGGGTTCAGAGTTCTAAATATTTAATTCCAGCGTTTTTGGACTATATTTAATTTCTTCTCGTGTCCCTCAAAGGTACAATGGATCTCTGCCAAATGGAGACAGAGGAAGAAGAAAAAGCAGATTTGCTTTGTTTAAAAGACCAAAGTCAAATGGCGTGAAGCCCAGCACTGTACATGTCACCTGCACTCCTCAGGCAGAGAAGGTAAATTTTCAAATATTGTTTCGAACCATATGTGACCTGGACCTTTTGGTTATCTTAAATTCTCAAGTCTGATAATATCTTGGGGGAGGGGGAGTTAGGCCTGAGAATCTTTTTTTTTTGTGTGCTATATGGAATAGCAGTGTGGGCCCGAGTAGATTTTTGTGGAGCTCCATTCCTTAGATTCCTGAATTAATTTCTCCTTCTTTCTCTTTCCCTTCTCATCCCCAAAGCCAAGGATCACACACATTCAAATGGTAATTATTCATCTTGCCTTTGGTAAGGCCACTTATGCACCAGCTTCATCAGTGTTGAGGGGCATGGGTAACTAGTACACTGGGCTGAGCTAAAGTCTAATGTTGAGGCTGGATAAACCGCAGTGAAGTGCCTGGCAACTGCAAAACCTTCAGTTTGTGAAGGTCTCTGACATGAAGCTTTGTTAATTGGAATGCTGGTTGGAGAAACGTTTCTTGCTTTTTATCATAAATGCCATTAAAAGTTAACAACTCTGTAACAGTAGATTGTCAGAGTCAAACTCTGTAATTGGATCTCAGTAGGGCTAAATGCACACGCTTCATAAAAGTATGAGGAAGATGAATAAAATCTGCTTTAGTCAGGTTGCAGAAAAAAATCAACCCAATACAAAAGATCAGTTTTACAAATGAAATTGTATATTAAGTACCCATGTCTAGGAAATCTTTGCTTTCTGTACGAGTAAGAGCAAATAAAACTAAGCATATGAATTGCGCTGCAAGAGAATTAATCACTGCAGTGTTGCTTCTCCTGAATGGTCGAAACGCAAAAATACAGAGACCTCTAAATCTATTCCTACAATAATTTGTCAATGTTCTGTAATGCTTAGAATGAGATAAGCCTTGCAATTTTAAGAACCTACCAGTAGAATAGTTAATTTTTAAAAAATAGTTAGCATGTGTCTTTAGTGTTTGACAATCTGACTTAAAGTTTGCCAAGGGAATGTCTCTCCAGAGAATAAATGGTTTATGACAACCCAAGCAGGAAATAAGCATAGCATGAGATGACTTGCATGTCTATTCATACGATTGATTGCGTGTTTATGTACGTCTCTGTTAGTAAAACCCTGAGAAAGGGAGGGACAGGACTTGCCTCCTGATGGTGGGAAAATATTATTTGAATGGTACATTAATATTTGTAGCAATCTTCTGTACAGTTAAATGTTGTGCAGAAATTAATTAATTAATTGTAATACCTCTGATGTATATTTAATGGAGAACTAAATTATGCAGATTAATTTATGTATTGCACCTTATTGGCATAGAAAGCTGTCTGATTGGCATTGTTTTAATATGATGGAACTAGTGCACAAAAATCTGTTTGTATATAAACCAGTTAAAAAGTAGGGGTCAGTAAAGCAGACGGAAAGTGGCAGAATTTCTTGCAATATATATACTTTTTGGAGGAGGGGAAGAGTTTTTAGAAGGTTTTTTTTATCTCTAGCAGTCAAATGTAGGAATGCATCTCAACTCATTTGCTGTTTCACTTTCCTCCATGTACATTTATTCAGCATTTTAAAACAAACTACCACTTTTTTTTCCCTACTGATGGCTACATGGCTTGTTGTAGCAGTGAGAAATCTAGACCAGGAATACCCCAGATTTGATCCCTTCTCCGAACCAGGGCATCGGTGAGATTACTGATGCTTTTGTTGAGGTTGGATCCCTTGACTATAAGGGGGCAAGGGTGAAGAAATATGGTGTTCTGTTGCCAGCTACCCAGTGACCCTTACCAGAAAATGCTTAAAAGGATGGGATCTGGTTTGGCTGTGATTTCTCACCTCTTTTTCTCCACTCCCTCACCATGGTTAAATATCCTGCAAACAATCACTGATTGGTTTCACACTTGGAAGTGTGACCACTTGGGCCAAGCTATTAGAGGGTCCATGTGGAACCACATCCCCACCTGCCTTCGGGGGAAGGGGGGGGGGGGGGGGAGGGAATGCCAATGATTTTCACTAGCTCTTTCAACATGGGGAATTATTCCTAACGCATCCCAAAAAATGTAATTTGTCTTGCCTTGTGTGAAAATCTTAAATTGTTATCAACATTATCTGAAGCTAAATGGCATAATTTCTTCCACGTAATGCACATTTTGCATTGCATTCATACATATTATTTTTGCCTTGGTTATCCAAATTGTGTGAGCTGCACACGCTGAAATTTTCATTTGTTATAAAATGCTTGGTTTTAGAATCTGTTACAATTCTTTGCTGCTTTCTTGTAGGCAATAAGCAACAAGGACCAACACAGTATTTCGTACACACTGTCTCGTGCACAGACAGTGGTGGTAGAATATACCCATGACAACAACACAGATATGTTCCAGGTAAAGAACGTTTTGGTCTCTCTCAAATAACTGCAGGTATTTGATTGTAACTGCGTGAACTTAGGAAAGTAACAATTCTTAGTGTTTCAAGGCTTGTGTGGTAAGTCAAATTAGTTGATCTTCTCAAATTGGACTTTTTAAAATTTAAAACAAGAATTGCGTGATGAGCAAAATCATTTTAATTTCATGAATTGAATGTTAATTACGCTAATGAGATAAGCAATCTACATAAATCTGTCAAAATAAATAATGATTCAAAATGTTGCTTAAATATCCATGTAAAGACTAGTCTTATCAGAAACCCTTCTGTGCGATTTTTGTTTTCCATTTCAATGTAAGGAAACTTGTTTTTCAGAGGGAGTGGAGGTAGGAAGGGATGAGAAATCTTCTGCTTTTTGACTTGCAGGTTTTCATTGCCCTCGACCAGGGTTACCAACTGTCGGCCGTTCGTTAATTACAGTTTTGTAATATTCACATTTGATTCTATAAGCTATTGTTAGTGGCATTGCTTTTGCAATATATAAAGATTGTATCTTGCTTTTAATCAGTACAAGTCTGCTTGGAATACACTTATAAAATCCAGGGACCAAATAATTGATAAATTATTAATAAACCTTCAGACCCACACCAAACTAGGGTTGTTAATCATAATTCCAGTTTGCTACTATCCCTGGATAAGATTCTGCTTGTGAAAACTGTTACTTGTCTGCTATAAAAAGCATTGCTGCTTCTTTTTAAAGAACTGAAAGTTGTTCACACTCCAAATGAAACAAAATCTCAAGACTCAGGTTCCTTTTGAAAATTGGAATAGTTTTAGTAATGATATTGTTTGTGGATTTAATACTAATGGTTCATTTCAAGTTAAAATTATAGTGTTTGTTTTTCTTCATATTGGAAAGAAAATTTCAGTTTTGGAGCGAAGTTGATTTTGTGGTAAAGAAGGGAAAGCAGCTGCAGGGACTTGGGCCTCCAGGACATCAAGATGACTGGCATGTCACGAGCTGTCTTGTATAGGTCCTTCCACTATGCTGAAGGCAGATGTCTGTTGAATAGCTGATGAGGAAACTGAGACTTGGGGGTGACGGCTGCTGAAAGGCATTACCTGGAATCTGGGTTCGTGAACACAAGCTCATATCTAGGGTTTGGTGTTCATCTAAATTGAAGTGGATGGATACCAATATCCTGAGAGGTAAGCAGCTGTTGTTCAAGTTCTACACTTTCAACTGGTGGAATTTCACTATTCAGCTAGTGAGGGCTCAAACTTGTGCTTGCCGGATGTCTTATGCCACCACACTTACCCCTTTTTCCACAGTGAATATGTACTGACAGATTTTAGATACTGCGATAATAAAACATCCAATTTTGTTTTACTGTTAGATTGGCCGTTCAACAGAGAGTCCAATTGATTTTGTGGTGACTGACACCGTTCCAGGAAGCCAAAGCAATGGGGATACTCAGTCTGCACAGAGCACAATATCCCGATTTGCATGCCGTATTATTTGTGAAAGGAATCCCCCCTACACTGCCAAGATATATGCAGCTGGATTTGACTCATTTAAGAACATCTTCCTTGGAGTAAGTTGTATGAAAATAATAAAAATTTAGTTTTTTTTTGTCTCCACTCAGTGGACTTTATAACCATTTGTTTTCCTTTCAGGAGAAGGCAGCAAAGTGGAAGACATGTGATGGTCAAATGGATGGTTTAACCACAAATGGTGTCCTTGTTATGCATCCACGACTTGGGTTTACTGAAGATTCTAAACCAGGAATCTGGAGAGAGATATCTGTGTGTGGGAATGTGTTTACTCTGCGAGAGACCAGGTCAGCGCAACAACGAGGAAGAATGGTAAGCTAGGAATTTTCTATGATTTTTTTAAGAACGTCATAATAAAACAATTAAGCTTGACATAAACTATAGTTGCCAATTAAACAAGCAAGTACCTTACTACAACATTCAAAATTTGCCCACAAAATGTATAGTCCATTCACTTTACAGTATATTATTATTAACAAGCTTCTTTCACTCAAACACTACAGTGATCACTAAGCAAGGAAGTGGAATCATGATAGTATTGTCCCAAGCCACAACTTAGGCATTACTTTGGTATCTAAACAATTTAAATTAAAGAACGGCCAACATGGCTTCTTTTTGAGAGCCAAGGCTTGCTTTAGCTCTGCTTGCTAACATGCTTGTACTTGTAATATGTTGGAACACGTATAGACCATTGGAACTTTGAACCACTGAGCTAATAGCAGCAAAATATTTGGGACTTTGAACTGTTCTGTGTGTCTTGCTGTTTTCACTGTAATATCTTGTTTTCAGCTTGTGACTGCATTACGTTGCTCTAGAAAACCTCTAAACATTTATTCAGTAAAATGAGAATCAAAAGGGCTGCTGTGACAACAACTTGCACTTAGGATATGTTTTCCATTTTCTTCATCCATTGTTATTATTACTACAAGATATTTGCTGTTTGATGTTAAAGATTACCTTCATATTTCAGTTTGCTAAATTTTTGTATGCTTATTAATGTTTTATTTTTATAACCGCAGTTTTGGTTTCTCTCCTCAGGTTGAAAATGAAACAAATGTGCTCCAGGATGGTTCTTTGATTGATCTCTGTGGCGCAACTCTTCTTTGGCGCACTGCAGAGGGACTTTCATACACTCCTACTGTTAAGCACCTGGAAGCGCTTCGTCAAGAGATCAATGCAGCCAGACCGCAATGTCCAGTGGGATTGAATACACTTGCTTTCCCCAGTATGAAAAGGAAAGATGTGGATGAGAAACAACCATGGGTGTATCTTTATTGTGGGCATGTACATGGCTATCATAACTGGGGAAACAAGGATGAGCGAGATGGAAAAGAAAGGGAATGTCCTATGTGCAGGTCTCTAGGTCCATACGTTCCTCTCTGGTTGGGCTGCGAGGCTGGATTTTACGTTGATGCAGGACCTCCAACTCATGCATTCAGCCCTTGTGGACATGTATGTTCAGAAAAGACTACCAGTTACTGGTCCCAAATCCCTCTTCCACATGGTACTCACACTTTCCAAGCAGCCTGTCCTTTCTGTTCTACTCAACTAGAAGGGGAGCAGGGATATGTCAGACTTATTTTCCAGGGACCTCTTGATTAAAAGACAAGCTGTTTTTTTACTTGTCAGAAAAAATTGATGGCTGAAAAATGTTTTATCTTTCAGAACTATAAGCTAAAATAGTTTTCTATACTGAATTCCCTGGGTTTGGATTTTTGTCTGTTTCCAAACATAACACGAATATGTAGCTCTTCATATGGGAGACTTCTTTTTTGTGATGTGTTGCGATGAGACAGATTTTTGATATTTGCATTTGTTAAATATATAAGTATTTTGAAATACAGAAACCTCACCCAAATAAAATTTTCAGAAGTATGTTTGACCTCTTACAGGTATAACAATTGCCAAGTATAGACTTTTGAAGTTTTTTTTTTCTTTGTTTATAAAAAAAAGAAGCATTTTTACCCAGCTCAATCTATTTGTAATGGGGTGGACAAATGTAATGCAAACAGACTAGTTTTTTCTATTTATAAAATTAGTCAGTAAAGCTGCAATATCGTTTAGTTAATAGCAAATGGAATGGAATGCTTCAAATTGTTTCCTCAGTTCAACCAAATTTTTAAACCTAAATTATTTAGAAACATAAGTATTGTGACTGTTTTAGTTTGCTTAATCTTGTCATTAAAATGTATCCTGATGCAGTTATAATACCCGAGTAAAGAGTGTGAAGTTATTGACTGTGTGGCAGAAAATGTGTGTCAGACTTCAACAATCTGAGCAGAGGAGCAGGAGCCCATCGGGTTTCAGTCCATTGTTCTGCCGTTTTAGCAATTATCCTCATTTCACCTTCTAAATCAGCTACTGCTTAAACTTGGTGGGAGAAAGAAGAGCAGGTGAGAATTAAATGAATAAGAGATTGTTTAAAACAAAACGTAAATGTGTAGTTTGACAACAATGAATTTAGTGGTGGTATCTATCTGTTTTAGCATAGCGGTGTCAATACCATCAAGGTGTTTAGTACTGATAAAAGCGCATTACCCTGTTTATTATTGTGACCGAGCTCCCATCTCAGAATACTGCTAATTGTTCAAAGGAGTTTCTTAAATATATTTATCTCGTCTTAATAGTAAATTTCATGAAGAGGATTTGTGAAGATGGCTCATTTTTAGTGTATTGCAGCTTTAATGTTGTGTAGAAATGTGTAGTAAATTATTGCCTGAAATGTGAGTAGTTGTTAGATGTTTGTATGAGATGCTTTAGCACATGTTTCAGAATGCTAATTTATAAATTCTTGATTCATTAATATGTAGGGATGTGCAAACTTATCCCATTCTGATGATCCAAATTATACGTTGAGTGAATAATATGGTTTCCATTTTTTCCTACTTGTAGTGCTGGCTTTATTCTTTCTATATCAATCAAAAGAAAACACAGCGATTCACTGTCAAAGATCTTCCCCCCCTGCCCCCCTCCTCCGCTTCAGTTGATACTTTTTTGCTAGAACTGATTGTACTGTTCAATAGGAATGAATATCAGGAAGCCTTATGGGTGATTTTTGTCGTTCAATAACAATTTTCCACTCCCCAAATGAGGTGACCAGACCAGCTAAATTGTAAGACAGCAGCCCCAGTAGATTACACTGAGAAAGCATTAAACTGCCTCAAGTTTTCAGATGTGGATTCAGTGCTAAAGCTCCAGTATATTACACTGAAAATGGATTAAACTGCCTCAAGTTTTTAGATGTGGTTTCAGTACTAATTAGTGAATTCTATTTTGAGCAAATACTTGATAAGTGACGTTCTGTTATGTGAATATGAATTAAAAAAAGTGAACTGCAGTCATGGTTATTCATTTTGAAGGTTTCTTTACATTTGTTCTCTTTCTCTCTCTCCCCCCCCAACCCTCCCATGGACTTGCTACTTCTTTCTCCTCCTATTTTTCTAGGTTTATGGTTTATGCTAGATGCCTTCCAGCTCCTTGCCCACGTGGCAATTTAGGGAGAATCACAGATAAGCCCAGCCTTTTTTGTCCTTTCACCGTCACACTAGTAATGATTTCTAAATAATGATTTAGAAATTAGAACCATGGCTTCCCCCCACTGTGGGCCACTGAAGTTAATTGTAAGCCCCTACTACAGTTCTAGCTTCCTTGTCAGTATGGATTTGTCTGGCTACCCCTACTGAAAAGTAAATCACTCCAGAATTTCTTTTGTTGTCAAATCTCCCTTTGACTCTACAGTGAGTTGCCTCCATTGCTGGAGCAGGGTCTTGAGGAGTGCCTGGCATTATATTACCTAAATAACAAAAGACTCGGGAGAATGGGTATACAATCACAGTTGCTTACGTCCTACAAATATTTCTGTCTTGATTCATCAGAAAATCAATGGCCAGAAAACAACTGTTTTTTTACACAGTGTATTTCACATAAAATAAAATCTCATAAATGATGTACAATTGAGTGGAGAGGAAATTATTTATATATAATAGGAAACGTGGCAACCAATCTGATTTGGCAATGTCCCATAATGAATGTGATGAGTTGCCATTTAATTTGAATTTGGGATTATGGGAGGAAATATAAACTGGGAGAAAAGTTAATTTATTTTCTTTGAAATAGCACTAGTGGTCCCTTTAATCTCCACTTTAACACCAACCTGTATTTTAATAGTGAAAGGCGTTATATAAATATGTAAGTTTATATTACTCTGGAATTAGGTCAGCAGGGTGTGTCAGAGTGCATATCCATTACAGACTTGAAATTTCCATGTGTAGGTGGCAAACATGTGGGACACTATCTGATTTGGATACTTTTAAACATGGTGATGGGTTTCCAATTCTTGGGCTGACCCAAAAAAATCGCCTGAACTGTAAGGTAAATTGAACCTAAATTAATAACACTGAAAAAGATCTGAAAATAGCATGTACTGTATTTAATATAGATCCTGTACTGTATTTAATATGGAATGTCAGCAAATAGTTAAGGACCGTGTGCAAAATAAATGTTCATATTTAAAATTATGCTATATTAATACAGTAAAGATAATGACAGGCAGGCTACTGCAGTACTTATTATGTAGGGAGAAATTCCACTGGATCAAGATTATTCTGTATACCATTTTAGACCATTCAAAAATTGTTAAATTCTTGAATGCAGCCTTAATTTTGGAGTATTTTCTGTAAGATCTATTTAAAACTAAAAAGACTGAATTATAATACTTGCATTTGATATGGTACCTCCCCATAGTAGTACTTGCTGCCTCCGATTTGCTGGGTCCAGCCTCCTCCGCGTCCCCCAAATCCTCTGCTCCACCATCGGCGCCGTGCCTTCAGCCACTGTGCCCCAAAACTTTGGAACTCCCTCCCTCAACCCCTTCGCCTCGCTCCCTCCTTCCCCATCTCCCTGACTCGGCCTTGGGCTCCACCATTGTTCAGCTCTCTGAGACACCGCCCGGCGTGGAGGGTGCTATATAAGTGCAAGTTGTTGTTGCTATCTTCCCACGTCGGGAAGTGCCTCATAGCTTTTATCGTAAAGTAGTGACTGCATTAGGAGGTGAATTCAACAATTTGCCAATTTCTAGACTCTCTTAATATGCTACATAAATAGAGTAAATCCAGACCCAAGTGCAATTTCACCATGTAGGTGCTTACAATTTGAAATGAGCTGGAATTACACCGTGATTTACTTGTAATGTGAGTTTCTGATCTCGGTCCTTACTGGTTGGGGAGGAAAATGTGACCAAAGGAATTGTGTTTCTCATATGTATGTAGAAACCGGGTGAAATTTGGGGGGGATAACTTATCAAGGAGGTTAGTAAAGGATAGAAATAGTTGAGAATTAACATTGTGTGTCCTTTCATGTTGATTGCCCATTTATCGGTTTGTTTTTGAAGGATGTTCAAACCTCTTTCCCTTGTGTGCCTTTTACTCAAGTTCAAATGATTGAAGAGATGGATCAGCTGTATCCAGTAGTCAATATCACTGAAAGGCAAAAAAAGGCAAGATAGTTGCAAAATGCAGAATAGTGGCATACTTTTGAAATCTTTCTGAATTTGGTGTCCAAGTGAAATGGAGCAAAGTTCCCTGTCAAAAAGCAGGATTTTTTAGCCAACAGCAGTTTGCACTCAAACCATATTTCCGCAAAGGATTTTATTACAGAGGCCTGGCCTTCAAATTTTATTACTTTTGAAAGTATAGCACAGTAGTCATATTCTCAGATGACTTTAATTTAGCATATTGCTTCCCAGTAAGGTTTCACTTAGGCCAAGTACAGAAACGTGTACTAGCATACTTAACCTTGTCACATCTTCTCTAGCACAAATTTTGTGCTACTGGGGAAGGCTGATGGTAACAAATCTTAATATAATCTACAACAACAACAAGATTTCATTTATAGAGCGCCTTTCACATCGGGAGGACGTCCCAAGGCGTTGGACAGTTGGGTCGGGACCCGAGCAAGGGGGAAATGGTCAGGGGGAGGGAAGCGAGGGAGCGAGGAGGGGGTAGAGAGTTGAGAGGGGAGCTGAAGGCACGGTCGAAGAGAAAGGTCTTGAGACCAGCCTTGAAGGAGGAAAGGGAGGAGGCGGCGAAGGCACTGGGGTTGGAGTTCCAGAGCCGAGGGGCTGAGAGGCTGAAGGCCCGACCACCGATGGTAGGGCGGTTAGGGCGGGGGATGTGGAGCAGACCGGAGCCAGAGGAACGGAGGGTACGGGCAGGTAAGTAGGGGGATAGTAGGTCGCAGAGGTAGGAGGGGGCGAGGCCGTGAATGGCCTTGTAGGTGAGGATGAGGATCTTGAATTCGATCCTCTGGGGGATGGGGAGCCAGTGGAGGCGAGCGAGGGTGGGAGTGATGTGATCGCGAAGCCTGGTGCAGGACAGTACACGAGCTGCAGAGTTCTGAATGACCTGCAGCTTGTGGAGGGAGGTGCCGGGAAGGCCGGCGAGGAGAGAGTTCCCATAGTCCAGCCTTGAGGTGATAAAGGCGTGGACCAGAGTTTCAGCAGCGTGAGGGGTGAGGTAATGCCGTAGTCTGGTGACATTCCGGAGATGATGGAAGGCGGTGCCAGTTGTGGTGCGGATATGAGGAAGAAAGGACAGCTCAGGGTCGAACAGAACCCCGAGGTTCCTGACCGGCTTTGAGAGGTGGAGAGTGCAGCCTTGGATGCTGATGCTGTCAGCGCCTGAGGTGCGGAGGCGCTGACGGGAGCCAATCAGGAGGGCCTCAGTTTTTTCGCACGTTGAGCTGAAGAAAGTTGTCTCTCGTCCAGGACTCGATGTCGGACAGGCAGCTGTCAGGACATCGGTGGTCGTGGAGTTGAGGGTAGAAGAGGAAAGGTAGAGTTAGTATTGTAGTTAGCAATAGCTTTAGATGGTTGCAATAGGTTACAGGTCACCATTTAAGTTTGTATTTATATCAGTGGGTTTAGATCTTCCTACAGCTGAATATGGACAAGATGGAAGCCATACTCCTTGGCTCCCGTCAACATCTGCACTCCTACGAACCTAAACTCCTCAACCTCCCTCCTCAGACTCACCAAACCAGTGCGCAACCTAGGCATCCGGTTCGACCCCCAGCTGTCCTTCCTCCCCCACATCCGGTCTCTGACCAGGACCACCTTCCTCCATCTCCGCCACATTGCCCGCCTCCGACCGTACCTTACCCCAAATGCAGCTGAAACCCTCGTGTATGCGTTTGTCACTTCCTGCTTGGATTACTCCAATGCACTCCTCGCCGGTCTCCCCAGCGCCAACATTCACAAGATCCAGCTCATTCAAAACTCTGCTGCCTGCAAACTGACCCGGACCAAACTCTATTATAATAATAATAATAATAATCCTTGCATTTGATATAGCGCTTTTCACGTCGGGAGGACGTCCCAAAGCGCTTCACAGAACACACTGTAAAGTGAATTGACTGTATATTTGTGGGCGAACGTGGCAGCCAATTGTGCACAGCAATGTCCCACAAACAGTCGTAGATTGAAAATGACCAATTTATTATTGTTTTGTTTTTTTGGAGGGATTATTATTAGGCTCTGTGTGGAGTAAGGAAACTTGCCCAAGGTTTCGCCCTGCCTGGAATTGAACTCAGGTCTCTCGCTTGCAAAGCGAGTGTTCTAACCACTGAGCTACAGGACTCCAGGACTCTACAGGACTCCAGAGCTACAAACTACCCACATCTCACCAGTTCTGGCCAGGATCCACTGGCTCCCCGTCACCGAATGGATTGACTTCAGGATCCTCACATTTGTGTTCAAATCTCTTCACTCTCTGCACCTCCCCACCTCTCTGACCTCTTCACTCCCCAATCCACCAAATGGTGTTCCACCACTGTTAAGCGCTCTGAGATGCTGCCCTGCGTGGAGGGCACGATAATAAGTGCAAATTGTTGTAAATAATACTCCAATTCCACATCTGAAAATTGCTGTAACAAATTGTTGAGTAGTTTTTTTTAAGTAGAAGTGCATAGAATAATGTATCCTATGGAAAATTCCTGGCCGTTCTCCATCTTTGAGGGCAAATCTGTACGTGTGTTTTCCATCAGGAAGAAAACTGGTAGTCAGTCGGAAAGTTGGAACAAAGTGTTGCATTTCTTTGCTGCTGCCCGAGAAGGTTTCCAGTGCAGGAGGCCAGTAAAAAGAGATTGGTCTGAAAAAAAGCCCACAAGGTCTGGTTTGTGGCCAACTCTCGAGTTTGTGCTTTAACTGGCCATGAAGCAGAACTAAATTTGATGCCGACTGTACAACCTTCTCATCTGTCAGGCATCTTGCTTGTCCATTATGCCCTCCTTTCCACCATCAGTGGTCGTGCTTTCATTTACGACCTGAAACTCCAGAACACTCTCAATCCTT